CAAGTCGAGTATGCAGTATACATGTTATTTTTTTTAACCGTAAAGACAAGAAATACTAATAGGGCAAGATTGACACAAATTTGACTGAAGACAGTTTAATGGATTAAAAGGCAGATGACATAATTGGTTTGTTTGAAATGTTAAGGGCTTACACAGTTCCGGGTCAATACCCAAAATGGCAATCAATACCTGGTGTGACCGTCATAAGCATTGATCACTGTTACATTGAGTGGATCAGACGATTTGTGAAGTCCCTAGGGATCCTCCTGCACACATCCAGAGCATCGGCAGTTGTAGGGACTGGGCGCACTTTGTGCAGACGCCTTTGAACCTCATCCCACAAGTTTTCGATGGGGTTCAGATCAGGGCTGAGGGCTGGCGGCCACGGTAGAACACAGATGTTGTGTTGTTGCAGAAAGGCCATGGTAGCTCTTGCAACATGGGGACGAGCGTTGTCCTGCTCGAAAATGTGTTGTTGATGTTGTGCCCATATCATGTTGCTAGGTCCACCCCATGGATCCCTTTCCACAACGTTTCTGTCAGCGAAACGATCACCTCGTCGCCGCCAAATTCAAACTCTTCCGTCTGCATGGGAGACACAAAAGGACTTTCATCAGAGAAGATGACACGCCTCCACTCACGATGACGCCAATTGCGATGACCCTGTGCCCACTGAAGTCGTGCTTGTCGATGCCGTGGTTGGAGAACAGGAACGGATGTCGCTGGTGTTGATTGGTGATCTGCCGATCTTGTCGAGGTGTGGTGACCCTAAGAGGACCGCTCCGAGGAAGGTCATCTTTGGTCTGTGTAGCATTGTATCGATGCAGGAGACGGTAAATTGTGGTTATGTTAACGTTGAAATGACGGGCAACATCTTGGACAGACTCTCCAGCTTCAAAAGGTCCGATAGCCTGGTTTCTCTTAACTTGAGTTAGGCGTGGCATTGTTGACCAAGGAGTGGTAGGTCCAGGAATCGGCCACAGTTTTATACCCACTACAGTTCGTGACAGTTCGTGCATTTTCGAATTCGCGAGAAATGGGTGCATGATACCCACATATTCATTGAAATGGTGCGTTTTGGCGAATCGTTTTTTTTATGTTACGTTTTTACTCGGGGCTTCCAAAATGCAACCAAAAATATTGATAACACACCATCAGGCTTCACTACATGCTAAAACTCGTATCAATTTATGGTTCCGTGTTTGTTACCTATTTGCTTAAAACCACTTGCGTTTCTTTTGCGTGTGAGTATATAACGCTGCGATGTAAATTAACTTAAATATCTCAAAGTCTAATATATGTTTCAAATGTTGGAATAACCGTAAGACAAGGAACTGATTAAGAACACTCACTCGTCTTTCTAAGGAATAGAAACGGCTACAATACCCTGAATCATACATACACTTCTATGGAAATGGTGAAAATAGCCTTGCTGTGTTTCAATAGTAGATAATGACACAAGGCCGGATCGGTAATCATGGATGGCGAATTTCATATCAAAGACCAGTTTATCAGCTGTATCACCGAGGCCTACCTGTTATATCGATTTGTGTATTTGTGTGGGGCACACATGTTTCTCATGATCAATATTTGTCTTTATGCTGATGTTTAGGAATCCAATTTCAATCTAAATACAATCAGGTCTTTTCAATATGTTTAAAATAGCTTGATAATTTCACCACAATGCTACTGCACAGCATCTGTTATATCAAACAATGCAGTACTGATGAAGCCATCGCTGGAGGCACCTATACAGCGACACATCTGTTGCCTACCAAAAGTTTAAAAAAGTATCGCAAATAAAAAATAGTACAATGACATGCGACATAATTTAAGCACACGCATTATCGCAATGTACATATTTAAACATTAAAGGCGACTCCATTAATTGAATTCAGCATAATTTGAGAAAATCTGGAGTGAGTGAGTGAGTGAGTTGGGTTTAACGCCGCTTTTAACAGTATTCCAGTTATATCACGGCGTGTCAGCTTAATGTGGGAGGAAAGCCCGAAGTGATGCAGGTCTCAGACGTTTACCATTTCGGTGAAACCCACGAGCACGGGTATGGTGCTGACAAACCTAGAAACATAATCGGGGCGAACCGGGATTCGAACCCACAATCATAGGTTTCTGGCGTGCCCAAGGGACGCGACTCTGCACAGCGAATCGCGGCGCCTTAGACGACTGGGCCACCCGTGCCCCCGAGAAAATCTGGAAGACACAACTGATTGGGAAATCCATCCAAAAGGTACTGTGTACCTGTACAATGGTTGAAGTTACTGGCTACACTGACTGTCAGGCAATTGTAATCGCTCTGGTGGCATTTCGAAAATTGATAAATACTCGCCACAGCATGTTACGCACATCTGATATAAACATATTTATTTCCATAAATTTGAGGGACTGGCAAACAAGCAAATTTTGCTTATCTGAATGCCTCTCCCTAACATGATACATATACAAATAGCAATGTATTGAAAGTGACATGAGAAATAGCATACATTGTATAATTGGCATTAAAGATAAGTACTGTTCTGTAAGTGTTTAATTACTGGATGTTACGCACATCTGCATATGTTGTATAAGACGGACATCGATATCGTTTCATCATCAATGTAATACCTTTAGGAAATGACCCTTCGAAGAATGAAATTTCAGTAAGGTACCCAGTTCATAAACCACGGTTATAACGAACTCTAAAGGGACCACTAATTTTAGTTCGTTATAACCGTAGTTCGTTATAAGCATATATACATCATATATACAGCAGATATACAGCGAACAGACGGGATCAAAACAGTTCGTTATATCCATCAGTTCGTTATAAGCGTGTTCGTTATAAACGTAGTATACTGGAACAACAAATGTTAAGATATATTATATCACCAAGTTTAATTAAATATAGTTTACCCTCACATAATAACACACAAATAATCCCCGACAATACTTCTATTGGCACATTTGTAAACACTAAGCACATTTATATATGGGTGTTACACGTATATAAATGTTTACATCCTGACATGATGTGAAGCAGATATTTCTTAGATCCTGACAATTGAGTGTCATTTTGGATCTTGAAATTTGTGACAAAAGAGTAAATATGATGCACAATGTGTAAATGAGTAACTGTGATACTTATCAGTAACAGACAGGTGATAACAATATGGATCCTGTGACCGTCACCGAGTAATCATTCATCTGTTTTCACAGCCACCTACGAGACAGACAAGGCAGTTCCATGTTCATGCCGCATGGTAAAAAGGAATAGCAACACGTGAATTAGTTTCAAACACCTGTACATACAAAAACAAACAAACGTGTCTAATTGGAAATGAAAATAACCTGGCATATTGCCTATCGCTTGTGTACAGAACAAAAAAACATAATATGAAGTGTTTTAAACTTGGAATACTAATAAACACCAAGTCCACTTTAAATCTTCGAAGAAAGGGAAGCTTGGAACTAAAGGCTTCTAAATACGGCAGATTGATGAATCAGAAAATGATTACAGTAACTAGGCCATTGAGTATATATATGAAAGAAAAAAATACTTTGGGTTTGAGCGAACCGAGTTTTGCGCCGCTTTTGACAGTTCGGCGAATCAACTTTATTTGGGAGGAAATCCCGAAGTGGTCCATGATTACTTCCACGAGTAAGGATATGGTACCTTGAAACCAAGAAAAATTATCAGAGCGAATAAATTTAATTTGGATTAGAGCAACAACAATTATGAAATATACTCAACAACAAAAGTTCCCGTGACACCAATATCTTAGTGTATTTTTCAAACAAGTAAAGTTTGGTTTTCAATATTGTACTACATGTATGGAATCAAGTCACAAAAACGCAACTGCTACAGAAAAACATGCATTCAATGCAAAAGTTGACTTTTATGCAAGCCCCATCCCTTTCACTACCCAAGAATGGGTATAAAAACATGTGCGTTAACAGGATTCCATATGCATTGTTTAGCATCGTGCTCACAACAACCACTCAGAGAAACAACAACATTACGCAATTATTCAAACATTACGAAATGCCACACCTGTCCTAAAATGAGCGTCTGCGAGCCATTGGTATGCTTGAAGCAGGATCGAGTCAACGTGATGTTGCAAGACAATTTAATGTCCACAGAAACACCATTTGGTTTTTATGGCAACGTTGGCAACAGACGATTGCAGTCAGAGACCATCCTCGGAGTGGCAGGCCACGCGTACCCAATAATCGACAAAACAACTGGATTCGAAAAACACATCTACGAAATCGATTCCAGCCAGCAACAGTGACTGAAAGAAGCATCCCTTGCCCTCGACGAATATCTTCCCAAACCGTACGTCGTCGCCTCAGATGTTCAGGGATTGTCGCCAGAAGACCCCCCAGACGTCCGATTTTGACAGGAGACCACCGTCAAGCACGTTTACAGTGGTGCAGACAGCGTTTACGCTGGACGGCCATGCAGTGGGGACAAGTTCTGTTCACTGACGAGTCTCGTTTTCACCTCAGCCACAGCGATGGACGGATTCGAGTGTACCGACGTCGAGGTGAACGTTACGTCAATCATTGTGTCATGGAAGAAGATCGGTTCGGGAGCGGTAGCGTTATCGTATGGGGTGGGATTACAGGAAGACAGAGGACCCGTTTGATAGTGGTAGAGGGAAATATCAACGGACAGCGCTACCGCGGCGAGATCATCGGCCCTGTTGTTCTACCGTTTTTGCGAAGTCATGGCCCAGGCATTACCTTTCAACATGACAACGCCCGGCCTCATCTTGCTCGACTTGTTCAGGATTCTCTTCAACAAAACACCGTGAATGTCATCCGGCTCGCTCCCCTGATCTATCACCAATCGAGCACATGTGGGATGAGATTAATCGGCGCCTTCGACGTCAACCACGTTCATGGTTATTTGTAAATTGACATTTTGACATGTTCATGGTTTGTTTTTTTATGAAATCATGCATTTTCTGAAGTCAGTATGGCAAAATAAACCATTTGAACACTTACAGAAGTCGTTTATCTGTTGCAAACCGAAATTGTTTCAGATTTGGTAAAAAACATAACATTGCATTAAATACTTTTCAATGTCACAGGAACTTTTGTTGTTCAGTATATAAGAAGAATATATGAGGCCGAACAAATTACACTGCCTTTGTCGGTAGGGAAAGCAACATACCTGCAACATCGTCAAGGTTTGATGATATCATAAGAATCCCTTCGTCATGTAACTGGCTCCCTCTCAGAGTTTTAATAAAGACACTAAGTTAACTAAACTGCACAGCATAATTTGCTTTAGCACGACAGGTGTGGTTTTGTTTTCGCAAAGTAAATAAGTAATCTAGCAATTCGCTCCACTGGAATGTACAAACAGTAAAATGAGATCTGGCATTTGTTAGAACCATTACTCGTTCTTCGTGAGTCTTAGTCTTCCTTTATAAGATCCCAGTAGGTAAAAGGTTGGTGGCCACAAACGTATGCCCTGTCCATGACTATTGCCTTCTTTTGAAGTGTCTCTTTATTCAGGTCCTTCATGTGAAACCGACAATCGAAAATTATTTTGCCAAAGTCTACTTTTTGTACTCCAGCTTTCATTGCCAGCGCAGTACTAACGAAAACGTCATCCATACGCAGAGATTTGCTGTTCTTTGATACTTCATGCATCAAGTGCCAAACTCCGGGAGTCGTGATGTATGCATATCCTAAACAAAATGAAGGGTAGATATCAAAAGGGTATTCTTCGTAAGAAACGTAGCTTTTATACTTTGAACCCCTCACTGGACCACGTCCTGTGATTTTTGTGCAGTACATTGTCCTCTGGTCAAGGTGACCACCAGTAAGAAAGTCAACAACACGGTAAGGATTGATGAAAACATCGTCGTCCAGCTTTAATATATATGAGGAATTACAGTGGCGTAAATACCAATCCATTGACATAATATGCTTCCGAGGTAAGCTTGTGTAAATATCAGGAAAGTTTCCTTGGACAATATCTCCATAAAGCTTGCTCTCGTTGATGATTGAGTTTTGGACCCTGTCGTTATTAGATGTTCCCAACATGAAAACATGGGCCAGTTTCCTGCCCTTGTATTTGGCCACTGAGCCGTATGTTTTTCGAATACGTTCTCTCTTCCTTGCATTCCCCGTAGCTGAATGTATTACTAACATCAAGAATACGTTTGTATTTGAACAAACACTGGTGTTAAGGGAGTACATAAATTGGTGCAGATTTATATACCGATCTCTGTGATCAGATGCGTTCATTGTTAAGAAGGCCATTATCTTCGGATTCATGTCTGTCCCATTCAATAACGCTGGTGGCAAAGAATAGCCCCTGGACATGTGCTTGTCATGTTCATTTATCTGTTTGGCTTCTTCATGAAATGGTTTCACATTTTTGGTAGGCACCTCTGATTGCTTTAAACCAACTAATCCGGACGGTTTGTTATTCAAGCCTGTCTGTTGATGTTTGGGTTGTTCCAGCACAGTGTGCTGAGCTGTGTGGTCAGTTGGGGTTAAAGAGTCATCCTTGGTTCTTGATAATCCAATTCCCCAATACAGACAAACGCATACGCCGAGGCAATAGCACATCCATTTTAAATTACGTTTTAGTCTCATCGTTATTGATTGGAAGGAAAAAATCCTGAAAAACAATTTTAGAGGTCATAAGATTAATCTCTAAAATGATTGAAGGTGTTTTAAAAGCATACCGACTCATCGAATTATACAATATCGTAGATATATTCTTACCTTGGATGATTGAGGCATCAGTGACATAGAATGGAATAAGATTCATTTCATTGAGATCGTTACTATATGCTGATGCTCTGTATTTTCCTATCTATATCGACCCGTGAAGATGCGGGTTAGAATAGATCTTCAGGAACCGATGCTGGTCATAAAACACGATAAATGCTTTTCGTAAGAGGAGACTAACTGGATCAGGTGGTCAGGCTCGCTGACTTGGTTGATGCATGTCATCGTATCCCAAATGCGTGGATCACTCGATTGTCAGGTCCAGGCTCGATTATTTACAGACCGCCGTCATATAGCTTGAATATTGCTGAGTGCGGCGTCAAACAATAAACAAACAAATTCCTATCTATATCAATCGAAACTTTAGGAGCGCGAAGCTACATGTAATCCTACATACCAGTGCGTAGTTTCTGTTCACGCCTTGCACTTGCTTGCGATTATTGTTCTCAGGTTGCCCGTGATTGCTGTTCGTTGCCTGCCCGTGACTGCTGCTCTTGACTTGCTGTTCGTTGCTTGCCTGTTATTGTTGTTCTCGACTTGCCTATGATTGATGTTCGTGGCTTACGTAATATTGTAATATTTATCGTGCTATTTTATGATCAACAAACGCGCCTTGCCATCCATTCCTGTTCGTGGTTTCCCCGGATCTTCTGTGCTACTTCTCCTAACTGGAAATCAACAAGAAGTAGCATGTGGCATTGTTTTTATTAACTTCACAACGTCGTTTGATTACTGATATCGGTCGGGACAGCTTGTTCGTTTCGATCCAGAAAAATGGCTCGGTAAGGTTTTGTTTCAAAATCGATTCTCAACATCACGAAGGTACTTGATTGTATGTGTGCACAGGAGTCCGTATCTAAAAATGGACACCCTCATGCATATTCATGACCATCTCCACACGCGAGCCCGAAGGGTGTCTATTTTTAGATACGGACGCCTGTGATGTGTGTTACTCAAATGATGACGACCACACCTGTAGTGTTTAGCCTTTTGTTTAGCGGTATGTTTACTAGCAGTATTACCGAGGTTATGTCCCTTGTACAATATTAGGGGATAGCAAGTAAACAATCAAGCATGGTTACCGCTGTGTTGCGTTTTCTTCAACACGTTGCTCCATCGAACATCGAGTCCATCGACTCATATTAATTGCATACAAGTTTACCAACTTGTAAACATCATATTGGCGACGAGCGATGGCAGATAATCAAGACGGTGAGGTTCGTCAACCGCCTGCGCCCGCGGGACCGGTGACTGACCGGTGACTGTATCGTTACCAAGTTATCCTCCGTTTGACTGCAAGTCGGATGGGAAGTTAGTGAGGTGGAATAAGTGGCGCTTCCGATTGGAAAACAATGTGTTTGTCGGATATAACATCACAGATGACAGGCAAAAGAAAGCGTTGCTATTATCGTTTGCTGGGGACGATTTGAATGACATCGTTGATGCGATACCGGCAGGTGAATTAACCCCTATTGACAATGAGACACATTTTGGAAAGCTTGTCACGGCGATAACGAATCACTTCAATCCACAAGTTAATCTGGAATTCCAGAGATATTGCTTTCGTCAATTAAAACAGAAGTCGGATTCAATTGATGAGTTTTATCATGAACTGAGACAGCATGCAAGCACATGTAATTTTGGTGATAGAATTGAAGCGGAGGTAAAATCTCAACTCATAGCTGGTTGCAAGTCGAACAAAGTTCGTGAGAAAAGCCTGAGTACCCCATATTTATTAATAACAGACAAGTGATAACAATATGGATCCTGTGACCGTCACCGAGTAATCATTCATCTGTTTTCACAGCCACCTACGAGACAGACAAGGCAGTTCCATGTTCATGCCGCATGGTAAAAGGAATAGCAACACCTGATTTAGTTTCAAACTGCTGTACATATTTAATTGCGGCGTTAAACAAAAACAAACAAACGTGTCTAATTGGAAATGAAAATAACCTGGCATATTGCCTATCGCTTGTGTACAGAACAAAAAAACATATATTAATATGAAGTGTTTTAAACTTGGAATACTAATAAACACCAATTCCACTTTCAAGCTTGGAACTAAGGGCTTCTAAATACGGCAGATTGATGAATGAGAAAATGATTACAGTCACTAGGCCATTGAGTAGATATGACAGAAAAAAATACTTTGGGTTTGAGCGAGCCGAGTTTTGCGCCGCTTTTGACAGTACGGCGAATCAACTTTATTTGGGAGGAAATCCCGAAGTGGTCCATGATTACTTCCACGAGTAAGGATATGGTACTATGAAACCAAGAAAAATTATCAGAGCGAATAAATTAAATTTGGATTAGAGCAACAACAATTATGAAATATACTCAACAACAAAAGTTCCCGTGACACCAATATCTTAGTGTATTTTTCAAACAAGTAAAGTTTGGTTTTCAATATTGTACTACATGTATGGAATCAAGTAACAAAAACGCAACTGCTACAGAAAAGCATGCATTCAATGCAAAAGTTGACTTTTATGCAAGCCCCATCCCTTTCACTACCCAAGAATGGGTATAAAAACATGTGCGTTAACGGGATTCCATATGCATTGTTTAGCATCGTGCTCACAACAACCACTCAGAAAAACAACAACATTACGCAATTATTCAAACATTACGAAATGCCACGTCTGTCCTAAAATGAGCGTCTGCGAGCAATTGGTATGCTTGAAGCAGGGTCGAGTCAACGTGTTGTTGCAAGACAATTTAATGTCCACAGAAACACCATTTGGTTTTTATGGCAACGTTGGCAAAAGACGAATACAGTCAGAAACCATCCGATGGACGGATTCGAGTGTACCGACGTCGAGGTGAACGTTACGTCAATCATTGTGTCATGGGAGAAGATCGGTTCGGGGGCGGTAGCGTTATCGTATGGGGTGGGATTACAGGAAGACAGAGGACCCGTTTGATAGTGTTAGAGGGAAATCTCAACGGACAGCGCTACCGCGGCGAGATCATCGGCCCTGTTGTTCTACCGTTTTTGCGTCGTCATGGCCCAGGCATTACCTTTCAACATGACAACGCCCGGCCTCATCTTGCTCGACTTGATCAGGATTCTCTTCAACAAAACACCGTGAATGTCATCCCCTGGCCGGCTCGCTCCCCTGATCTCTCACCAATCGAGCACACGTGGGATGAGATGAATCGGCCCCTTTCGACGTCAACCATGTGTTTGGTTATTTGTAAATTGACATTTTGGCATGTTCATGTTTTTTTAATGAAATAACGCTTTTTCTGAAGTCAGTATGGCAAAATAAACCATTTGAACACTTACAGGAGTCTTTTATCTGTTGCAAACCGAAATTGTTTCAGATTTTGTAAAAAACATAACATTGCATTAAATCTTTTTCAATGTCACAGGAACTTTTTTTGTTCAGTATATAAGAAGAATATATGAGGCCGAACAATTTACACTGCCTTTGTCGGTAGGGGAAGCAACATACCTGCAACATCGTCAAGGTTTGATGATATCATAAGAATCCCTTCGTCATGAAACTAGCTCCCTCTCAGAGTTTGAATAAAGACACTAAGTTAACTAAACTGCACAGCATAATTTGCTTTGGCACGACAGGTATAGTTGTGTTTTCGCAAAGTAAATAAGTAATCTAGCAATTCGCTCCACTGGAATGTACAAACAGTAAAATGAGATATGTCCTCTGAAAGTCTGGCATTTGTTAGAACCATTACTCGTTCTTCGTGAGTCTTAGTCTTCCTTTATAAGATCCCAGTAGGTAAAAGGTTGGTGGCCACAAACGTATGCCCTGTCCATGACTATTGCCTTCTTTTGAAGTGTCTCTTTATTCAGGTCCTTCATGTGATACCAACAATCGAAAATTATTTTACCAAAGTCTACTTTTTGTACTCCAGCTTTCATTGCCAGCGCAGTACTAACGACATCATCATCCACATGCAGAGATTTGCTGTTCTTTGATACTTCATGCATCAAGTGCCAAACTCCGGGAGTCGTGATGTATGCATATCCTAAACAAAATGAAGGGTAGATATCAAAAGGGTATTCTTCGTAAGAAACGTAGATTTTATACTTTGAACCCCTCACTGGACCACGTCCTGTGATTTTTGTGCAGTACATTGTCCTCTGGTCAAGGTGACCACCAGTAAGAAAGTCAACAACACGGTAAGGATTGATGAAAACATCGTCGTCCAGCTTTAATATATATGAGGAATTACAGTGGCGTAAATACCAATCCATTGACATAATATGCTTCCGAGGTAAGCTTGTGTAAATATCAGGAAAGTTTCCTTGGACAATATCTCCATAAAGCTTGCTCTCGTTGATGATTGAGTTTTGGACCCTGTCGTCATTAGTTGTTCCCAACATGAAAACATGGGCCAGTTTCCTGCCCTTGTATTTGGCCACTGAGCCGTATGTTTTTCGAATACGTTCTCTCTTCACTGCTACTTCTAAAAGTGTAATATGTCTATAATTAGGGATCATTTTAATTACCTTTCTAATAAAGTGGTCCTCACTTTTGCTTCGAGTGTTCCGAAACTGTGTATTTCCAGGAAAATAGAATACGATAATTATCAGCCCAGGTCTCTACTAGACCTATAATATTATATTTGTAGATAAAGCCACAAACAGAAGGTATACACAATTTTTATTTGAATCTTTCTATGTTCCAAGAGACACCAGTAATCCCATAATATTCATCACGCTGGCCATGGCCGGAATGCTACGCAACTGGTGAAGTTTCAATATCAGGAGTGTTTTCGGATTTGGTCATATCGCATTTATTTAGTAGCTTCCAATATTCTTTTGGTGAGTATTTCTTAAGGTCCCGGAACTGTTTACTTGTTTCATTTTGATATTGTTTTATACTTTTGTCCATACATTTCTTATACGCTCTTGACATTTGATGATAGTGCGTTCTATTTGATTGGGTGTTACGTAACTTATATTGTTTTTCCTGCACTCATTATTAAACCACGGTTTATCTTTTTTCTTCTTACTCTGTTTGGGACGATTCGCTCGAGACCCGTGAAGATTCCGGGTTAGAATAGGTCTTCAGCAACCCATGCCTGCAGTAAAAGGTGACTGTGCTTGTCGTAAAAGGCGACTAACGGGATCGGGTGGTCAGGCTCGCTGACTTGGTTGATGCATGTCATCGATCCCAATTGCGTGGATCGATGCTCATTATATCAATCACTGGATTGTCTGGTCCAGACTCGATTATTTACAGACCGCCGTCATATAGGTGGAATATTGCTGAATGTGGCGTTAAACATCAAACCAACCAACCAACGATTCACCCGAATGCTCCTAACGCTAAAAGTTGTGCGTGCAGCGTCCACCAGCATGTCTATGTCTATGCGCTATGTCAGTTTAACGTCTCTCTCTCTCTCTCTCTCTCTCTCTCCTCAGTTTAACTTCTCTCTCTCTCTCTCTCTCTCTCTCTCTCTCTCTCTCTCTCTCTCTCTCTATCTCGCGTCTAAATTTATTAACTATTAATGTTCTCGTCACTATATGGCTGAAATATTGCCGATGTGACGTTAAATTTTCACTCACTCACTCACTCACTCACTCGTTCACTCATTCACTCACTCACTCACTCTCTCTCTCGTAACGGTTTGCCTATAGTAACGTTATCTTCCACTGGAGTGAGTGAGTTAAGTCGTAAGTCACATCGGCAATATGTCAGCCATATCGCGACTATCAAGGTTAAA